CTTTAAAAAATTTTAAAAAGTGAAATTCCAAGCAAGGCAGCCTAGGACAGAGATAGAATGGGTAATCATATTTGTTGAGCATTACAAATGTTGTCAGGAACTCTGCTCAATGATTTATATGCCTGATTGAATTAAACAAATTGACCTACATTCCAGAGACACCCCAAGATTTATGTCTTGCCAGTCTTATTACAACATACAAAAACATTATGATATATTCACATTTCTGACTTTCACAAAGTCATTGCTTTGTAGTGTTAGTCATAAAATTCATCACATTCTTTATTAACTAGAAAGATATATGACTATATACATCTATTAAAAGATTAGTATTTTATTAGCTATAATACCATCAGAGATAATACTCAGAAATAGAGGTTTCCTTTGTGACTTATTAAAAACTATTTTTTTTCTTAATCCAGCTCAGCCACATCTATTGAAAACCATTAAATGTATATACTTTAATAGACCAAAAGAATACACAAATATAAAAAGATTTAAAAATACACAATTATTTTTAATGATGTTTCTTTTACTTTTCAAAAACTAACAGAAAAATACCTACATGTCACCATTTATTAAGATTTAATAAATAACTATAGAAAAGCAAAATGCTGAGACAAAAGCATTATTGATGATAATTATTATCACATTAATGAAGTGATGAGCAGGTAATGGTCAGAATAATCAATTATATTCACAATTTTCCTACATTTTTACTTTATGGTTCATTTATGAATAGTAAAATTAAACTAATATTGGTAACTTGTTTTTAAACTACCAAGACTAACTTGGGTTTCACACAAATTTAACTGACATAATTTAATTATGTTCATTATCTCTAATGTATTTCATGTGAATAGCTGATATTCAGACTGACAAACATGCAGTATTACAAATATTGAATAATTCATAAAAGAAAGAAAATAGTTCGATCTATTAAATCTTGGTTTGAATATGACACTTAGTTCATTTTGTTTATTCTCAACAAGTCTACCATAAGACTTTCACTCCAATAAACTCCAAGCTTTTCAGAATGGAAAAAAGTATAGCCTATCAAATAACAATTCCATTGGGGGAAGACAATGTTATAAATATCCTGTGATTTGAAGGGATGGATTTGACAACATCATCACCACCACCATCATCATCATCATTTATCTTCATCATCATAACTCCTACTACCATTACCAGATATCAGCTTTATATCTATCTACAACATTCAAAGGCCCTGGCCTATTTGCACCTTTTGAGAAAGTCTGAGAAACTTGTCATATCACACCCTTTCCAAATGATGAAATTTTGGTCTGTTTGTCCCATCCAAACAGTATTCAGTTTCTGTGGGCTATACTTAGAACGAACATAAGAACACCCTTTATTACTATGAAGTTCAACTAATTCTTTATTCTGAACATTACTGCAGCAACATCAATTACAGTATCTGAGACAAATTCACATTTCATAGCCCTGGGAAAGGAAAGGAGCTGTGAGGAGGAGGGAAACAGGCTGACTTTGAGAATATCTTCATGTTTTTACCATTTGGTGTGTGTTGAACCCTAGTAATTATCTGGGGCTAAATCTGATAGTTTCTTTGTATTTTTTTTTGAGACTGAAAATTAGTGACGTTATCTACAATTGCAGGAGTGCTTCAGTGTTTTTTCCATTATTTCTCAGGTAATTTTGTAATTGTCCTGTTCTTTCATTTTTACATAACCAAAAAGGCATGTTTATTAATGATAATTATTATTTCAATAAAAAAGTAATTGATGTTTCCATTAACATAAGACTTTAAATTATTTTCACATTAGGCAATTTTCAGAACAATTCTTTGAGATATAGATAAATGGTGATCTTTATGTTTACACAGGGAAAATTAGGGAAAGGCCGTATCACCAAAGGGAATGAAGTATAATTTCTTTCTTCCTTATTTTTGTCTGTATTGATTTGTTTCTATTGGTGAAACATCAACAGACTTTACAAATAACACATGGTCATAAAGTAAATGAAACTGTATTGAACATTGGTGCATAAATAACCTGCACAAAACCAGTGGAATCAAAGACAAATGAATCACAATTCTTGCAAAGTTTATTTTTTAGAACATTTTAACTGTGTATCAATTATTGTGATGTCACAATTTTAATAAATAATGTGACATTCTTAGAGAAAAGAGATGCAGAAATCAATACAGAACAATGGCTTAGCCACAAGAGTTCGATAGAAAGCTTTGTTTTTCTCCTCTCTGTGAGACTTTTCTGAAACAGATTTTTCAGAAGCTGTAAGTACAAAAAGCTTTGCATGTGTCATCACATTATCCCTTCTTGATTATCTTTGTTCATAAACTTCAAATATTATTGAATTTGTTTATTTTTCTATGTGGTTGAATTATTTTTAACTAGGAACTAGGGAGTTCTAATCCTCTTAAGCCAAATTATTTTCTTCTCAACTATGCACTAATGCACTCTTGATTTCTTGTTGATTATACAACATGTTCTTTAATTGACACTTTCCCTAATACAGTAAGGCTTATCTGATTTCAGACTTCTCCTGTCTTGCTTGTACTCCCCCAAGGTATGAATTATGAGGGTTTATCAATGTGTAGCACAGAGTGGAAAATTAGACCATTGCATCACCTTATTTTAAATTTTCATGTTTTTTTTTCCAGCTGAGCAAAAGACATCACCTTACATGCGATGTCAAGTTCACCAGCGGCATTTTCTCATCAATATTAAATACACTGTTAGTGTCAGATCTACTTAGCTAATTTTAAACCCACTCATAGGGCCTCCCTGGTGGCACAAGGGGTTGAGCTCAGCGCTGAAAAGCTGTCCGCAGCCTCTGCAGCGTGAGTTCAATCCCCGGCCAGGGAGAAACCCACAGGGCGCAGCAGACCTCTCCTGTCTCGCCCGCTGCTCCCCTCAGCAGTGTATTTCAGTGGATCTGCCTGTTCTGTTCCCTACTCTGTCTCTGGTGAATCCTGTTACCTCTCGCACCTCTGGGCTGTACCTCAGTTCTTGTAATCATAAATAAATAAATCTTAGAAAAAAACAAAACTCATATTTATATCACATGTTAGTCTAAATTTTGTACACAAATAGTGGGAGGGAAAGATCATGTCAATACTTCAGCTGGATTCACAGAACAATGATTTTTTTAAATAGGGTTTTTTTTTAATTTATTTTACTTATTTATACAAGCACTGGGTACAGCCAGAAGAGCGGGAGAGTGAGAAAATTCACCAGAGTCAGAGCGGGGAGCAGAGCAGGCAGAAGGACCAAAGTACACTGCTGCAGGGAGCAGCGGGCTGCGGGAGAATTCTGCGTCATGTGGGACCCTCGCCCGGTGGCCGGGGATTGAACCGTCGTTGCAAAAGCTGCGGGCAGCTTCGCAACCCAACGCTCAACCGCTGCGCCACCAGGGAGGCCCTAAAATAGTTTTTTAAAAAATATTTGATCTAGGTATCCTAAATCTTTTATCTATTTTATGTACATATTTTTCTACAATTTTATGAACTTGATATTATGATATGAAGATATACTGGCATTTTATAATATATTAAGTTATACCACATTTTATTACATTCATATATATGTGACTGTACTAAAGTAATATGTATATTATATAATTTTAAATATACATAAAATTAAGGCAACAAAGCGCTATCCTATATAGATAAAAATAATTGTATATGTCAAGGAATAATTTTCAGTATAATTATATATTGACTCATGCAAAAAGAGAAAATGATCATTTTTGAGTAAAAAACTTGCTGGTAAACCTGTTAAAATCATGTTCTAATTGTACATGATCATTAAATTATTTAACTTGTTTTGATATGTTGCTGGTACTGTACACCAAAGTTTTAAAAATAAATTATTTCAGTTTTAGAATAGTTAATTAATAGACCTTAATCTTGAGCCCATAAGAACAAAGCAAATAGTATATAGCAGTAACTTTCAAAATCACTAGTGTTTAATAAATTCAGCCATTAGATTATAAGCTCCTTGAGGATGTTAGTTTTGTCTACTGTACCCCAGAACACATAATGATCTTGCCATATTGCAGGTACTCAATATATGTAAAGGAAGAAATGAAGTGAGGAAGGGATATGAAACAGTCTTCACTAGCAATTCAGAAAACATTCTATCCTTATCTTTCAAGGTTATTCTTATTCTGGTTGGCAATGAAAGAAAGATTCCAGGGCATATTTGGCATAAATGACTCTATCTTTTATCTTCTTTATTACTAATTCCTCCCAATTACCTATCTTATCTTTTGCATGTGTATAAAGTCCAGGTCATAATCTCAATTTTTATAATTAATTTCACCTGATAATATTTACTGCATCATATTAAACTTATTTTAATTTCACACTGATCATTCCCAAGACAAGTCTAGGATGTTAATTCAATTATAGGATTATGATCACTACATGATCTGGAAATGCAGTTAGACATTCTTCCCACCTGATCCTACCCATATTTTATGTATATATTAAATTATATAATTTAATTATATATAATTTAATTATATATATAACTTATATTATATAATATATTTACCCATATTATATTATATTATATTTCTATTCTTATGAAAATGACTTTATTTTCTGCAACTATCTATTTTGACCCTTTTTTACTGGAAACAGAGAAAGAAATGTTATAGTTTCTATAAATACAATATAGACCACAAAAGAAGAAAGGTACCCTTATAGAAACACCTGATATGTCTACTTACTCTGGATAATCTAACCTAAGGTTCAGTATCTAATACATTGTAGGCTCTCATTGATTATTTTTAAACAAGCAAACAACTGTAAAACAAATTTTCCATTTATTGCATATTAGCTAAAACTAACAAAGTCTTAACATCTGCATTGAAATATATGTTGTCTTTTGTTTTTTTTAGAAATTTCTAGCATGTATTCAGCTGGTCTAGAGTGGAATCAGATCATTAATAAAGGAGTTTTTAAAAAAGTGAGAGGAATAAATACATACCTGTTTTGACATCAGAAAAGTTCAACTGCTTCAGCAGAAGACTCTCATAACTTTAATTCTCTCCATAGTTTTATGTTATGGGTTCTTAGGACAATTTTCATATGAGACACTAAAAGAAGACATGTCATTTAGGTCACAACTCACACATATTCAAAGGCAAAGAAGATGAAAATTTAAGTTGCATATATTTTTAGAGTTACTCTGGTGCTTAGCACTGAACAAATCCATAGCATTGATGATAAGAACATTGTAAAGAAAACATCAAGGTAAGTATTCCAACACTTTTTCATTGAGAAAAGCACTTTCAGAATAAATATTTCTGTAATATCCTGAAATAAAAAGATCTATGTAATAAAATATTCCAGAACATTTGTTAAAATAACAACCCTCATTATTTCTTGATGCTCATAATTCCTGTGGAACAGTAGGCATCAATATTTTTTCTTCTGTTCAAAAGTAATTCTTGGTTGCATGTTGTCTATATTAGTTCTGAGGAATATCTCAGTTTAGAGAAAAAAGCATTTTCATTTTTTAGGGTGATAGTTGAAAAGGTCATGACTTCTAACTTAAAGTTCTGTATTACTAAAACATCAGCAGAAATTTAGACATTTTGGCATTCAGTTAGGTAAAGAGTAACTCATTTTGTAATTATAGAAGTGGAAAAAACAAAGCCAAATCAAACAGGGTTTGAGCATATAGGCACCTGTGAGGGGGACATACATGTGTAATTTAATGTAATTTTAGAACAGGGAAACAATGGAACAAGAATATTGAAATGTTGTGTCTAATTCCTATATTTAATTGTCTAATCCAAAAATATTTACATCATTTATTTTTAAAACAAATTATAAAAGCATAAACTGGGAAAACATTTTTAGTACAAAGCTAGGACTGTAGTGATTTTATGATACACAGTCTCTAATTTTCTTGAGAAGTGGCCTTTGTACTTATCCATCCTTTAGAGAACCAAAGAATTTTACTTATTAATGAGTTGAAAGTACATGAAAAATAAATTGTCATTTCTTTAGGACATTTTGTTCATGTCTTTAGAAGAAATGAGTTAGGAGGTATATTCTCTGCTAATAAGTACTTGAATTTTACAGCAAATTTAACCTTGGAAATCCCTTTTTATAAGGAACAGGGAGCAATGAAAACAAAAAATTAGAATAGAGTTTAAGAATATCTAAATGTAGTTGAGTACCTGGAGATCAACAATCCTCTAAAATGAATAGATGGGTTTGCAGAAGACCCAGGGACTGATATCTAGCTGTTCATCATGCTGAGTTCTGGTGACTACATTATTATAGTGAATAACCTCATAAAATCAACCAAAACTAGGTCACAGCATGCCAGTTGTGAACCATCCTGTTTGTGAGGTTATCTGACAAAGAAAACTCTAATTGTTATTGTCAAGAAAAGACACACTCTACTTTTAGCCCTGACTTTCAAACAGATGTCTGAAGCAATTCAACTATATATATTTTTTGAGACTGCACAGCAATGAGTGTAAGAAGGAAGGAAAGGTCTTTCAGGAAAAAAAATATATATATCCATATGATACATAATGAAAGTTAGCTGCAATTACACTGGCTCTTTGTCATTTATTGGCTTATAATCCTTTTTCTACATTGGTAAGAACAGAAGCACAGACACAGAATGGGATTCTCAGTCACTCACTGTGGTGTTCATGTCAGGCATTCATCCTGTTATCTGACTCTAAGAATACATGAAGCACCTTGCAAAAATTCTGATTAAGTCTCACAGTGCCTTTGCATCTCCTAGTGATAGTACAAAGTCTAGGGAGAAGTAGCAAGAAACACCCATTTCTGTTTCTGTATAAGCAAACATATATAATCTATAAGCTCTAAAAATGCTCTAAAAATAGTAGAAAACTAATCAAGACATTTATACACATCTTACTTATTATATTTTCACCGTAATTCTTATGTCTAATAGCGAGTAATACAATAAATGTATGCTTACTACTTTCATGGTCATGTTTTCCAGAATACTGTGCCACCATCCTCCAGTGATAGTCACATGATTGTAGCACATGATTGGAAACCTCCAGTTTTCCTCCAACATGTAAAGAACATGATCATTGTCATATTCACCCTTAACAACAATAAATAAGGGGGCCTCCCTGGTGGCACAAGACATTAAGTCGCAGCACTATGAAGCTATCCCACAGCTACTGCTGCACAAGTTGGATCCCTGGCCAGGGAGCTAATCCACATGGTGCAGCAGATCTCTCCTGACTCACCCGCTGCTCTTCTCAGCAGTGTATTTCCATCAATTTGCCTGTTCTGTTTCCCATTCTGGCTCTGGTAAACCCTCTCACCCACCACACCTCTGGGCTATACCCCAGTTCTTACATGCATAAATAAATAAACCTTTAAAAAAAGAAAAAATAAATAAAAAAGGTTGAACAAACAGAAAGTCATAGATTTTCACAGTCTAGCATGAGGCAAGACTCTTGAGAGCTGCAGCATCAGGATGGTACATTTTTGTGGATTTTACCTCCAGGAACCCCACCAGTTTCTAACAGTGAGAAGATAATAAAGATCTTCTGTGTCCTTGGCAGAAGGGAGAAAAAGTAACCATGAAATCCTCTGATGTTTTTTTTTCCATAATAAAGGCATACTCTTAGGGGAAAGGATTCACCAGGTCATTATGACATGGAGAAAGGTATTTAGCTATCTCCAGCTTCTCTGACCCCTATAGCCTTTGTTGTCATAACCAAGTAGAGGGGAAAAGGAGGTAGGAAACATTTATGGGGGTCAAAATCCAAGGACACGGGTCCTCTAAAAGACTGATAAATAGTAACAGTATTATTGACACCTTAGCACTTCATCAATAGTGATTATAGCTGGACCTGCTGAAAGAAAAGGATGCCATTTAAGGAGGAAAATGGAGATTAAAAGATAATTGTTCAATTTTAAGCCTTGCAACTACATTTGTAGTAAACATTAAGCATAGCCAACTCCTAGCAAAGTCACATTATGTGACTGTTACATTTGGAGACTTCAACAAACCTCTTTTGGTCATAGATAGGTTCAGCATGTAGAAAATTAAAAAGGATAGAGTTGAACTGAACACAATTATTAATCATTTATTTTCTCATTGACATTAACAGAATACTTCATCTTAGCATAGCAAAATACGCTTTATTCTTGAGCATTTACAAACTATTCAACAAGATAAAAACACTTAAGTAAATGTTAACAAACAGAAATTATACAAAGTATGGTCTCAGGCTACAACAGAATTAAACTAGAAACAACAGGTTAGAAATAACTGGAAATTTCAGAACTATGTGAGGATTAGGGAACACTTTTAAGGACATGTGGTTAAAAAAAATACCTCGAGATATTTTTAAATACATCAAAGTACATGAAAATGAAAATAAAACTTAAAATTTGTAAGGTGCAGTGATCACAGTGCTTAGAGGCAACGTTATAACATATATATGTATATAAAGAAGGAAAGTCTAAAATCTTTCTAACTTAGTAACCTAAGCTTCTATCTTACAAAGCCAGAGAAAGAGTATTTTAAACCTAAAAGAGGCTGAAGAAATAAAAATGCAGAAATCAAAAAAATTAAAGTATAGAAAATCAATAGGCAAAATAATCAACAAAATAGATGGTTCTTCGAAAGAATAAAATAGGTAAGCCTCTAGTGTCAGGCACAGTGCAAAATAATGTACCTCTCTGTGTTCTTCTCAGATTCAGTGGAAGAATCAAAATATCAGATGGGTGAATAAAGGAAAAAATAGTAATGTTTGAGGGAGTCCTATAATAAGTATGCAGATGTGGAGTTAGGGCATCTGAGGTGCCAAAGAGAGGGGAAGGGGAAATTTCAGGTGATAAGAAGGGGATGTCTTCATCCTTCCTCTGAGAATAAAGATGAGATCCTCAGATAGAGAGGACATATTATCAGATATGAATCTAGGTTTGGATGATATTCCTCCCTATTCCCACTGTGATCTTCTAGTTCATTAAAAGTAGAGCAGTGCTTCTTTGACTACAGAAAAGGTATAAGCTTAGGGAGTGATGATCTCTTCTTAGAGTAGAAAAAGGCAAAAGACTCAGGCAAGGGGCCTCCCCTGGTGGCTTAGGCAGTTGAATGCAGCGCTGTGAAGCTGTCCACAGCCTCTGTAGCACTGGTTCCATCCCGCCCGGCCAGCCAGCAAGGGTCCCACATGGAGCAGCAGACCTCTCCTGTCTCACCCGCTGCTCCCCTCAGCAGTGTATTTCATCAGTCTGCCTGTTTTGTTCCCTGCTCTGTCCCTCTCACCCTCCTGCACATCTGTCCTGTACCCCGGTTCTTGTATATATAAATAAATAAATCTTTAAAAAAAAAAAAAAGACTCAGGCAAGGACCATAGCTCTTCAGTCTCTCCGCTTTCACTGTTCTTAACTCAAGATAACCCGCATGCCAGCAAGGGACATCAGTGCTAAGAATTTTGGGGTGGTCTGTTTAGAGCACCTTCACAAGCCAGTTTAATCAAGAAAAGAATGAATTTAGAAAACAGAGTCAAGAGTGAGAGTGGGAATCATTGAAAACAGACAACCTGAGACAGGACATACATTTCAGATATGGATCCTTGTTTCAGTTGTTATCTGATCAGAAAAGCCAAACAGTTATGAGAGATGAAATAAATTTGTTGTGGGGATTCAGCTTTACATAAATGTGGGAGTTAGTTAAGCAACAAGCTGGGTTTCAATACAATTTTTTAATCTGAAAAGACAATAGAAAAATTCAGTTACATTAAGGTGCATATATATATCTATATATACACACACACACACCCCCACACACACACATACATACATATATCTTATATAGGGTATAATTGTATAACTTCTATAGTTTCTATAATTTTAGAATGATTATATATAGATATAGATATACACACTCATAATGATATAGATGATAAATTATATCTTTAAGTTTAAAAGAATATTAACATCTTTTTGTATTCCAAATAGTTGTCCATAGAAATAAAATACTTTCAAATAGTAAGCCACAATAGAGAAAGAGTGCCCTGACATATCTACACCTGTCCTTTCTCATAAATTCTTATTCTTCTCCCCCTTTCACAAGCAT